TCTTCTTGGTGGATTTATATCTTTATATAATGTCTCTCTGTCCCTGGCATTTTTGTTTGTTTTGATGAGTAGTTTATTTGCTACTACTGTAGCCACTGCTACTTCCTTTGATTGATGCTTGCATGGTACATCTTTTTCCAACCTTTTACTTTCGACTTGTCTGTAACATTAAATTTAAAGTGAGTTTCTTATAAAAAACATATAGTTGGATCATGCTTCTTTAATCCACTTAGTCAGTGTCTGTCTTTTCATTGGTATATTTAGCCCATTTATATTTAATGTAATTATTGGTATGTTAAGGCTTAAATCTTCCATTTTACTATTTGTTTTCTGTTTGGTCTATTTTTCTCTGTTTTTTTTTTTTTCTTCTTCATTCCTATAGGGTTATGATAATATTTTTTAGAGATCCATATTGATTTCTGTAGTCTTTTTGAGTGTATCTCTTGATAGCCTTTTTAGTGGTTGGTCTAGATATCATATTATTATAGATACCATATTATTATAAATAATCACAATATACTGTCATTGTTTTACCAGTTAAGAATAGGGTGTAGAGGGGCGCCTGGGTGGCGCAGTCGGTTAAGCGTCCGACTTCAGCCAGGTCACGATCTCGCGGTCCGTGAGTTCGAGCCCCGCGTCGGGCTCTGGGCTGATGGCTCGGAGCCTGGAGCCCGTGTCCGATTCTGTGTCTCCCTCTCTCTCTGCCCCTCCCCCGTTCATGCTCTGTCTCTCTCTGTCCCAAAAATGAATAAACGTTGAAAAAAAAAAATAAAAAAAAAATGTTTAAAAAAAAAAGAATAGGGTGTAGAAACCTTACCTCCCTTTATGGCTCTTCCCCTCTGTTTATTATAATTATCTTAAATATTTCCTCTACATACATTTAGAAGCACAACAGACAGTGTTATCATGTCTGTCTCAACTGTCAAACATAATATATAAAATTCCAGAGAAGGAAAACTAGTCACTTTCACTTTTCACATTCTTTTCTCCTTCCTGATGTTCCAAGGTTCCTTCTTCTGTTTTGCCTTTGTATTTAAATACATTCATTTAGCAGTTGTTTTAGGGCAAGTCTGCTATAAAAAATGCTCTCATTTTCCCTTTTTTGAGAATGTCTTAATTTCCCTGTCATTCTTGAAGGATGGAGATATATATATATATATTTAATGTTTATTTATCTTTGAGAGAGAGAGAGAGAGAGTGGGTGTGTGTGAGAGTGCAGGGGAGGGGCAGAGAGAGAGGGAGACAGAAAATCCCAAGCAGGCTCTGCACTGTCAGCACAGAGCCTGACACAGGGCTTGAGTTCACAAACCATGAGATCATGACCTGAGCTAAAATCCAGAGTCGGACACTTAACTGACAGAGCCACCAGGAACCCACTCCTCCTGAAGGATATTTTTGATGGGTCTCTGGATTGGTAGATTTTTGGGATTTGGGGCTGATGGTTGTTTTCTTCCGGCACTTGGAGAATGTTGTGCAATTTCCTTGTGGCCTCTGTGGTTTCTGATGGGAAATCCTTTTTGCTCGGATTGTGTTTCCCTCATAGGTAAAGTGTCCTTTTCCCCTGGCTGCTGTTAAGATTTTGTCTTTGAATTTAGTTTTCAGAATTTTAACCATGTGTCTTGGAGGAGATTTGGGCTTACCCTGTTTAGGGTGCTCAGCTTTGTGAATCTTTAGGTTTATATCTCTTGCCAAACTTGAGAAATTTTCAGACATCAAGTTTTTGAATGCCCTTTCAGCCACACCTTTTTTTCCCCTTCTGATAATATGAATGTTAGATCTTTTGTTATAGCACCACACTCCCTGAGGCTCTGTCCTTTTTTTTTTAAATTTTTTAGACTGTTTTCTCCCTGTTGTTGGAATTGGATGATTTCTGTTGTTCTCTTATCTAGTTTACTGACTCTCTCCTCTATCCCTCATCTTTCTATTCAGTGCATCCCCTGAGCTGTTTATTTTGGTTTGTGTATTTTTCAGTTATAGTATTTCCATTTGGCTCTTTTTATATTTATTTATTTGCTGAGACTTTCTATTTCTTTGCTAAGGCTTCTAGTTTTTCATTTCTTTCAAGTATGTTCATAATTGTTCATTGAAGCATTTTTATTATGACTGCTTTACAATCTTTGGTAGGTGCAGCTAACACTTCAAGCCTCGGCGTTAGGGTCTACAGATGAGATCTTCCTGGTTTTTGGTATGACTAGTGATTTTCTGTTGAAACCTGAACACTTTTGTACTATATTATGAGACTCTGGATCTCACTTAAGCCTTGTGTTGTTGTTTTTTAAAGATTCTATTTATTTTGAGAGAGCGAGAGAGAGAGCACAAGCAGGGGAGGGACAGAGAGAGAATCTCAAGCAGGCTCTGCCCTGCCTGTCCGGAGCCTGATGCAGGGCTCAAACTCATGAAGTGTGAGATCATGACCTGAGGTGAAATCAAGAGCCAGACGCTTAACTGAATGAGTCACTCAAGCACCCCTAAGCCCTGCATTTTAACAGCTTTTTCTGACACTGCTCTGCCAAGGTGGGTGAGGGGTCCCTGTTACTAACATGGGGGTGGGAGTCCAGGTTTACCACTAGGCTTCTGCTGACATCTGTGCTGAGGGGTCTAGTCCATGTGTTGGGCGGGGTGGGTGGGTGGGAGTTTGATCTCCCTATGTGGTCTCCACTGACATGGGGGGGGGTACCACCTGCTCCCTACGTGGCTGCTTTGCCAACCCGGCAGAGTTGGGGGGGGTCATTGGCCTTGTTCCAGCTTCATAAGGGAGGACACCCAGGCTGCCTCTTGGCCTTTGTTGTCATGGGTACAGGCTGTGCTGTGCTGTTTTTGGCAGTGTTTGATGAGAGTGGAGCTGCTGTTGTCTAAAATGTGCTAAGTAGCTCCCTTCCTGGGCCTCTGGCTGGGGAGAGGTGACCTCAGTCGGGGCTTCACCTACACTTGGTGCTCCCGGGTTGCTGGCTGACTCAGCTCCAGTGTGAGGTGCATAAGGCCAAAGGACAGCCCAGGGAGCCCCACAGGTGTGGTTCCTCAGATTCCCTAGGACCGCAGAAGTCTGTCTTCCGCCCACCCCTCGTAGCCTCCTGTGCATATAATCTGCAGGGTTTTAGTTGTGCCTAGTGGGAGGGGTAGGAAGAATGTGTCTTCTCCGTCTCCCTGGCAGCAGTCAGCTCTTCCTAGGGTTTTGTCTTCTCAGTAGCCTTGAGAGGAGTTCAGAGAGAATGTCTAAAGCCCTAATGTATGCATTGCTTTGGTTTTGCATCCAAGTGTCCAGTTTCTGCCTGCTCCCAGGAAAGCTTAGAAGTCAGTCTAGGGGTTCCGGGTCTCCCTGAGATTACCTGTACGGAACACCTTTATCAGTTGGCCGACTGTTGTGATTGAGCCCTCCTTACAGACCCCAGAATTGAATTGGCTCAGGCTCTTGTGCTGTTTAGTATGTGTGCTGCCGAGGCGAGCACTTGTGCTCTTTAGATTAAAAAATACATTCGAAGTTTCGTTATTTTAAATTCTACAAATGAAAAATTTTTATGGGAAGTTCCTTTTGTGCTCTTTATTTGTTTGTTTCCGGATAGATATTAAGACCACCCTTTTGGGAATGGCATGGTTAAACTATGCTTACTTTCTCAATTCACAGTGCTAGATACTATGCTAATATTACAAGTGTGCTTTCATTTGAGAATCCTCCCAGGAATGAAGCAACGGTTAATAGCCACATAAGCATACACTTCATATGGGTGGTTTTTTTAGTTGCTTTTGGCAAGTGGAAGATGCTTGCTTATTATTAAGTACATTTCATCCTGAAGTAAGGGTAACAGTGACTATGGGGTTCGGTCTCCCTGCAGCGACCCATTCTCTAAATGCTATATTCAAACAGGGCTGCTTAGAACAAGTTGCCATTAGAGGCTAGCCTGTTTGGTGAGTTTTCCCATCAGCTTCCCCTTTGGGTAATGCCATAGAGCCTTTTGAGATTCAGAAGTGTTCCAACTGTTTGAATCTTGCCATTTGTAAATGAAAAAAAATGTTAGATTTGCATTTGAAAAAAGAATTCAAGTGTGTTCATGAAGGCAGCTTATATCTGCTGAGCCCTTTTTATTCCCCAGAACATGTGGTTCTCAGCAAGTTCTGGACTTCCCTGTACCACACTCACGCACACACATAAACAGGCACAGAGCCGTCCTGATTTGAAGATTTTGGTAATGTGTTTTTGAACAGGGCATAAAAATATATCTCGGTAATTACATGATATTTAGTGATTAGATAATTATGGATAATTGCATGGGGTAGTTCTAAGTGCTAAAGTGTTACCATAAGATCTAAAATGTACAAATTGCATAATAATTATTCTTGGGAGTTATTTGGTAATTCTGAGCATAATTATCATGTGATCTGCAGTGCATGTAATTAATGCATAATCACATGCATTTTGCCTTCATAACTACTTCGCTCTTGTTATAAAGCTCTTTGTCATAACATTTGAGTATAAATATAATGTAATTGGCTCCCAGATACAGCACATTAGGCCCCATGATAATTGCCTTCAGAGTAACAGTACCCTTATTTCATTACAAACGTGTGGCTCTTAGGCAGGCTGGAGCTCCAAGGAGCCCGAGACGTGGCGGTGAGGAGCAGGACGGCGGTTGAGTGGTGGGTAAACGTGTGCACATTTGGGTCGAGAATGTCTTTGCTATGACCAAGACCTTTCCATGAGGAAGTCTGCATCTTTTGCTGGGGACAAATCCGTGAAATGTGCTCCTGGTTCAAGGGCGCCTTGCTGTCCAGCCACGCCACCACTGCGCCTAGTGTTTTTCATCTGACAAAGCACCCATCATATTTCTGGTCTAGATGTCTCAGAAGGCGGGGATTTCTAGAAGGAAAAGACCTTATTAGTAAACTGCAGTGAGCGCTTTGGCATTGCGGGAAAACTTGGAAACAGCAGCAGTTTCTCCTGTGACCGAAACAAGAGCTTTGCTCACCTTCCACGTTGATAATGCAGCTTTTGCATCTGTCCCCAGGCTTCACATGGCAGGATGACTACACCCAGCACGTGATGGCCCAGGAGCTCTTGAACCTTCCCTCCCCGCAACATCTGGACGCCTCCAGCACAGCCAGGTAAGTAGATGCGGTTTATGTCTCCTTGCTCTCTGGCCACGGCCAGCATCCATCAAGCTTGTTTTTGTTTGAACCTATTGTCTTTTGGGTGTAGAGGGACCAGAGAGTTGGAGAAGTCCAATACGGAGCAGATGGGTGCTTTCCTTTCCTCTGTGTCCTGGCCCAGTGGAGCCAGATGCATTGGCATAACCCTGTAGCCAGGGGCTGTCCTCGTTGACAGACCTCCCGAGGGCCCTGTCCCTTTCCCAAGACCCTTGGAAAGCCCTGCATCTTCACAGCCTTGGTTGGAAGCAGAGAAGTCAAGATTTCTCATTTCCCAGTAAGAATTTATGTTCTCTTTAGTACAAAAAGCAGAATTAAATCCTGGAAGTTTTCCCGCTGCCAGAGCCTAGCAGTGCTGCGCTGAGTGTTTCACTCTGCAACATCTCATCGCCTCCTCGCGGCGCACCGTGAGGGCTCCTAATCTCCCACGCACCCTTGCAGGGAAGGAAAGTGGGACACACGAAGTTGGAGGCTTAGTCCAAAGCAGACAGGCCACAGTGAGCCAGCTGGGATTGTCTCGTCCCTCGGCCATTGAACTATATATTCTTCAAGTGACTAAAAAGTGAAAAGCCCTTTCCCAAAGGCTTAGGGAAGTTGGGAAAGTCCTTTCTTTTTTCCCCAAAGAAAGAGACTATTTGAAACTTCAGTTAGGAAAATCTCAGTTGCACAGAAACGTGGGCATCTGCCTTTAGCTCATGTTCCTCTAATAAGTGAAGGAGCTAAGCCGCCAAGGAGTTCATTTCCGAATCCAGGGAGATTAGGTGAGTGAGCACGTGTAAAGGACTTGTGCACGCTGAGAACACGTTCCCATCTCAGCTCTTCTCCAGCCAGACTAGGGGTTTCTTTAGGTGGAAAATGTGTCCTTCTATGTCCTGCGCCCAGCTGTCAACCTTGAAGGCCTCCTTTGTCAAAGAGAATATGCCATTAGAGTCTGTGAGTGTGTGTAAGACCTCTCTGTAAGAAAAAACAGCCAAAAAGCAAAGTCAAGCTATCTTGAATTTCCATTTTTGTTTTAGATGACTTCATACTCTTTGCACTTGTCTTTAAATCACCCTTGGGCGTTTCAGTGCTGCCCACTGCTCCTTCCTTCCTAGTGAAGATTGAACTTCACTAAGATGAGGGGCACTGTGCCAGGTAACCTTGAACTCCACCATGAGCAAAGGGTAACTCCTTGGACAGCTGAGGTGAGAGAAAGACCAGAGCACAGCATCACCCAAAGACCTACGTTTGCAGACGAGGTGAGGCTGTTGAACAGACACCTGGATGACCACCTTCTTACCAATGTCAGTATTGTCATTTGCAGAAATTGCCAGCTTTATTATGAAAAGCGACACCTTATCTTTGTTGCTTTTAAAAATTTTTTTTTCAATGTTTTTTATTTATTTTTGGGACAGAGAGAGACAGAGCATGAACGGGGGAGGGGCAGAGAGAGAGGGAGACACAGAATCGGAAACAGGCTCCAGGCTCTGAGCCATCAGCCCAGAGCCCGACGCGGGGCTCGAACTCACGGACCGCGAGATCGTGACCTGGCTGAAGTCGGACGCTTAACCGACTGCGCCACCCAGGCGCCCCTCTTTGTTGCTTTTTAATAAATAAGATTAAAAGTTTAAAAACATTCATATTAGAGATTGGAATTTTCTTCTTTATGGATTTCCTATGCATGCTTCTTGCCCATATGAAAAGCATTTTTTTATTTTTCTGTTTTGTTTCTTTCAGTGTAGAGCCTTTATATTTGAGGCTAGTAACCTGTCACGTATCCCGTCTTGTAGAGGTATCTTTTTGGTCTGTACCGTAGATGACACCAGTATAGTTGCTAATGACAACAGAGTGCCCTTAGCTCTCTCTAGGCTGGATTTTTAATCTCTGTCTTTGAGAGTGTTGAACCTAAGTAAACCAATCATCCCAGCTCTACCAGCAGAGCCCTATTTTTGGAGGACTTGATGGGACGTTCTCCGCATTCCTGTCCGTCTCACTCCTGGCTCTGGCCCCCGAGGGACGGTGTTCCTAGGCTGTGTCAGTAGGCGCCCGTGTCCTCAGGCTGGGTCTGGGTTTGGCCAGTGGGATTCAGCCCAGCTTAGAGGGCAGAGAAGAGGGGGTCAGGATGGCAGCGGGACCTGGGCAGCGTGTCTCCTCCCTCCTGTTGGTCTGGTGGTTCGCCATGGTCATCTCTGTTGTGCCTCTCAGTCCTGTAAACAGTGCCTTGTTCAGTTACACGGACATCCTGCTTCAGGGTCCAGTCTGTTTCCTGATGGCACTCTGCCTGACAGGCAGTCTCAGCAACAGAATAGAGGCACAGATTCCTGCCATCGTCTGGCTCCGGCCTCCTTGCAGCGAGGGTCACGGTCAGACGGTCATCATGGTACAGACAGTACTTTTCCCTCTTTTCAAAACTTTCTGCACTTTCTTTAGCATTGAGATGATCTGTTTGCCAGTGTACATACTTTTTAATAGTCTTTCTCTGTAGGTGTATCTCATAACACTTCATTGTCTTCCAAGACTATTGGTAAAATACGCTCACAGTTTTTCTTGTGTAAAATTGAGGCATTTGTATTTTTGCAGAGAGCTACCCTCCTTTTCACAGGGACTTCCACATTTGTTAACTTGTGATACATAGAGTTGGATTATAGTTCAAAAATCCATTCAACATGTAGGTAGTGGTCACTCTTCTCATTTTTAGCATAATTTTTTTTCACAATTTTAACATGATTAAAATTACTTCTCTCTTGGATTTTCTTACTGTCCTTACACTTACTTTCTTTAAAGTGGTTATTTATTTACTTTGAGAGGGAGAGAGAGCATGCATGTGCACACATGAGTGGGGGGGGGGGCAGAGAGAGAGGGAGAGAGAGAACCCCAAGCAGGCTGCGTGCTGTCCGCACAGACCCCGATGTGGGGCTTGAACTCACAAACCGTGAGATCGTGACCTGAGCCGAAGTCAAGAGCTGGACGCTTAACTGAGTATCCCAGAACCCTTAGACTTGTTTTTTATGAAGCTTCTCGAGTTCAACTTTTTTTCATGTTTCTACTTACTCATTTTTTTAAAAAGTAATGAAATTACAAAAGTTTGTGCATTAGCTTTGGAACATAGTTTTTGTCCCATCCCGTGACTGACGTCTCCTTGTTTGCTTTTGCTCTAAATTATCTGTCACTGTAAATTTCTACCTTTTGGAAGTAGCTAGTGCCTGGTTTTTCATGTTTATATTGTTTTTAAACTTGAAATGAGCACTTAGTTTATTTCATTTTAGTCAGGCAGTGTGACCTGTTCAGCTTTTAGGTTCTGGAGATTTTGAGGTTTTCTCTGTGGCCTATTTTATGCCATCTTGTTATTAATTTTCAATGGATAAAGATATCATGCCCACTATTTGCAGGGTGCAGGTTTTTTACATGTAGTTGATGATTCTATATGGTTTATAATATGTCCTTAATTATATTTGACTTACTGAAATTTCTCAGACAAAACTGTTTCTGTGAATTTTCCTTTTGTTGTTAGTATATTTCCCTTAAACACTGAGGCTCTGACTTTTGGGCACATAAGGGCTGCTGCATTACGTCTTTACTGGTGATCGCTGAACCCACGGTCACTTCCAAAGGGTGCCTCTGTTGGCTTTACCGGTTTTTGTCTTGGATTCCATTTTTCTAAAATTAGTGTTGCCATTCCTGCTTTTTCTTTGTCATTTGCTGCCTAATCGATCTGGCTGTCCTTTAAAATCTCAGCCTTTGGACTTTCTCTCTTTTGCGCGTGGATTTCTTGAACGTCAGTCGGCACTTTTTCAGCCCCCTGGACGGCTCGCTGAAGGCCCTGCTGTCCCTGCCCGCTCCCGTTTCGTCTGCGGAGTGTGAACTGGCTGCTTTTGTTGTCTGTCGTGTTGTGGCCATCACCTTCTTGGTTTGCGGATATTTTTAAAGTGCGAGTTTCTACCATCATTAGTGAAGAAATCGGTGTCTTCCACCTTATTACGCTTCTGCCTTCTCTCCCTCTGTCGCCTCTCTAGGCGCTGCTTCTGACCCAGGGACCCCCAGCACCTGGCACGTGCTTTCTACCAGGTTGACACGTGGCCAGTATTGAATCAGTGAAGGAAAGACAGAATGAATGATCTACTGACACTTTTGAACGATTATGTGGGTGACCACGCCAACCAAGAATCCTTCCTCACTTTCTTCGTCCCATAGGGCATTTCTAGAGCATTCTACACTTGATAGATTTGTCAGTATCCACAACTGGCCAGTGAGATATACTTGGCATGCTTCATACAAGACAGTTAACCTTCAGAGAGATTAACTTGCCTGGATGGTTTAGAATCACCTTCAGGAAGCCCAGCCCTGCTCCTGTGCTACCCAGAGTAAGCACTGCATGTGAAACCCAGAAAGCAGGCCCATCAGTAATTAGACGCCGGACGTAAGGAGCGGAGGGGAAGCGTGAGGGGTCACTGAGAACGCAGGAATCTGAGCCTGCCCTTTGCTGGTTCTCCTGAGAGCCAGAGGAGGTGAGCAGGAGGCCCGCAGCCTGTGTGGAGCTCTGGTGAGTCACACAAGACTGCCCGGGAGCATTGTGCCAGGTGGCCACGAGGCTTCTACGTGAAGAGTGAAAAGGTGGTTTCTCAGTAGCTACCACGACTGTGAAAGGAGTGAGAACAAGGCTCACTGCCTGCTCCCTGTAAAGATTTCGTTCCTAGTCTGGGCTTTTTTTTTTTTTTTTTTTTTTTTTTTTTTTTTTTTTTAAGCAAATTTTCTAAATTTTACATTATTCTAAAATCTTACATTCTAAATCTTACGTTATTTGGAGCCTGAGGTCTGTGCATGCATGTGAGAAAGAGAATACTGGAGTCCTAAATGCAAAGTGTGTTTGGTCTTTTAGAAGTGGAAAATGTATACTTACAAAGTTTTGACCGACTTCGAGCTGAATGCCAGGCTAAGCCCATTTGCAAGTTCACTGCTCCAGGCTTGCCCCACGTAGTGACAGCAGACTCTTCACTGTAACATATTACAGCATCACAGACAAACCCACTGGCAACAGACATTCCAAGAGGATGAACGAGACAACCGAAAGGCACTTTTACGAAGTTAGCAATTTGTGACGGAGAAAGACAAACTGCCAGAGAAGTGAATCGACTTTAGTTAAAATACATGTCGATGTCATATAACATATTTCCTCCCTTCAATAACGGCGAGGAGACACCAGCCATGGTTTGAGGTCAAAGTACCATGAAGTCCTTATCACCTGTGAGGTTCACTATGGTGTAGCTTGAAAAGGCATCAGAAATCAAAGCAGGACAACTTTGTCAATTGAGGCAATTAAACGCAAACAAGAGGATTTTCTGTAAGTCCTAGTTTTTATGAAATGTGTACAAATACCACACCAACATTAATGATCCATTCTTGAAAACCAGAATTTCTATGTGAAAAACCTAGCCAGGATCCTGTTGTCCATTCCTATAAGTGGGAAGTCTAGAATGAGTCACACACCCACCTAAACCCCAATACATTTCCTGAAGCGTGTCAAAATCACCCTGAAGACCCACATATAAGTAACAAACTGTCACGTTTATGTAAAATACTTAAGACGCTGCTTCCTGGTCACTAAAAGTGTAAATGGCTACTAACAAATTGAGCATTTTATTTGCTGTAACTCAACCTCACCCAGCCTGCAAGACATATACACAGACCAGACACACAAATGTAGACACACACACGGATGCACACAGGCATGCACACACACACACGGATGCACCAGAAAGGTGCGCACACACACACACACACACACACACACACACACACACACAAACACAGACATATAGACACATGTAGACACAGGGCCCTGAATGGAGGAAGTTGATGCATTCTCAGGCCTTGAGCTCTGTTCCCCCTTCTCCTGGGTTTATGGCCTTTCTTTCTTTTTTAAAATTTTTTAAGCTTATTCATTTTATGAGAGAGAGAAAGCACAAGCCACTGTCTCTGCCTCTCTCATGCTGACAGTCTGCACTGTCAGCACGGAGCCTGATGTGGGACTTGAACTCATAAACCGTGAGATCATGACCTGAGCCTAAGTCGGACGCTCAACCCCCTGAGCCACCCAGGCGCCCCTGTGGCTTACGGCCTCAACCCTGTGCTTGCAGAACTGATGGCTATTCTGTTTACATATCAAAATGCCTTATTTCTAGAATTACCACAAAACTTTCTCATAGTTGGTACACTTACAAATAAAAGTGAAAATTAAATGATTACTTAAAAGCAAAGTCTCTCCAAATACAAAACTCAGCACAGAAAGGATGGGAAGAAATGGAAAAAACAGCAGATGAGTCTATGCCCTTCCTGTGTGCTGTTTTTCTAAACCTCATGTTGACATTGTGTGAGCTGTACCCGCTTTCAGGCAGTCTGGGATATTCTTGTTCAACGTCAAGGGTACTTCTGGCGGATAATTAAAAAAATACAAATTTTAAAAACCAGTATTTACTTACATGAAGGTCAAATGCATTTAGTAGCAAAAAAAAAAAACCCACCCACATATGTGGCTATGTAAATGTCAGAGCTTATAATTGCTTATAATTACTTATTATTCAAAAATCAGCTGCCACATTTATTGAACATCCACTACAGAGAGCACAATTTGAGGTTATATACAGTTGCCACGGGAAACGTGTCTGGTTCTTTCTACACAAACAGTATTTGTGGTTGTCAAGGAGGCCTAACAGACTGGGAGTATGATATCTTCCATAATCTAAAATGAGACACTTTTCTTTCAAAAGAAAAGTAATTTGATCACGCCCCCCTCTCCCCCTCCCCCCCCCCCTACACCACAATGATCACTTTTGTTACCTTGAATTCACTTTCGGTGATAATTTTTAGGTTGCACAGGAAAGGTGTCATTTAACAGGTTAATAATGTGAAATGTGAGCGTTTTGGGCTAACTCTGCATCGACCCAGAATTTACCGTCTGTATCCAAGTTCTTTCTTTCAGTCACCACGTACTCTTTCAGTGCCTGCTGAGTTAGGCTCTGCGTAAATTCGGGGCTTTGGAGCAGAGAACGTGAAGAATATAGAGAAACACGACCCCTTCCCTCAAGCAGCTTTCATTCTAGTGAGAGGATATGTAGCGACAAAAAGTACATATTAAATAAAGACGGTCATTTCAGTCAGTAATAAAAGCTACAAAGAATTGAAGGTAATGTAATAAGCAATGAGTGGAACACACCTTGGGTTGGATGTGGCTGGGAGGGAGTTTCTGAGCCACGAGGTGAATGAATGTCCAGGGAAGTGGAGTGTGATTGGGGCTTTTACCAGTTAGTGAAGTGACCTGGTGAACTTTCCAGAGGCCCCCATGGCTTCCAGGTGACAGAGGGGAGAGGCCCCCCGGGGCCATCACGCACGGCTGCTCGTGACTTACATGAGGGGGACGTGGATGGGTCTGGGGGGTCTCTGGGTCAGCCCGAAGGAGTGTGTGATGTGCGAGTGAGGAACAGAGACGAGGGAGAAGAGAAGTGAGCCCTGTGGGCTACGGCCGGGGCACAGGTGGGTGAGGTTGCCATTTGCAGAGATGTGTCAGTGGGCACAGCGAAGCCGGCCACAGACAGCGTGATGTGGGAGGAAAAACAAACTGGCAGGTGGCTTCTAAGGAGAGGGAACCTGGACTTGATGGTCTGGGAAGTTCTCAGCCTCTCCACGTTACACACGGTGCCGGTGTTAGAGCTCATCGTCAGACAAGCTCCTCGCACGGATCAGGGCATCAGAGAGTTCGGTGACACAGAGGGGTCTCTGAAGAGAGAGCTTGCTGCTTGGTCTCCTGCCCCATTTAGGGTGTGTCGTGGCCCTTTGGGGGCGGCTGCTTTGCTCAAAGCAAGGCCGTCAGCGGGCTGGGAAGTTCTGGTCGGCGGGTCCAGGCTGTGAGATGGCTGGACACAGAGGTCAGCTCTCCAGAGCCAGGGCTCTGGGAGGCCGTGGGGAATGGGAGGACTGGGGGCTGATCCGGACAGGAGGCCACTGAGGGGCCAGATGAGTTTCCTGGATGGGTTGAGGCCCGTGACCCTGACTTCCTGCCGGTAGGGGTGCTACCCGGTCGCTTCCTCTGTGCCTCTGGTTCTGGCCACGTTCAGCCTGTGCAGAACGTCTCTGTCTGCTGGGCAGTTGGTCGTTCTCTTAATGACTTTGAGCATAAGTCCAGCGGTTGCCCTCTCGCCTCTCACGTCCGTGCTGGATCGGTCAGCCTGCATTTCCGGCCTCGTCCTGGCCTCCCCTCCTGGACACAGCCACGGCCTTTCTGGTCGGCACTCGGGCGTGAAGCAGCGTCTAGCTTCGGAACAAGCCCCATTTGTGTCTCGCCGCCACGTGGAAAGAAGGCAGAAAGCTTCTCTCGGTCACTCCTGCTGCAAACCTGTGTTTGCCTGGTGTGGACCGCACACACGGATGGTGATGCGTACGTGGCTCTTCCGTAGTGCCAGCGTAGAAATGTTTGGCACTGCGTCAGTTTCCTGCTGTGACAGATCGCCACAGACCTCGTGGCTTACACGGTGGCCGCCTGTCACCTCGCAGTTCCCTGGGTCACAAGCTCAGCCTGGGCCTCCCTGAGCCAAAGCCTGTGGAGTCGCAGGGCGGCCCCTTCTGGAGGGCCGGGCTGGAACTGTTTCCTCCCTTTTGTGCTCTTCCCCGCCTTCCTGGAAGTCATCCTGCCCCTCATCACTCCACCACCGCCTTCCACCTCCTCGCCCTCTGTTAAGGACCTGTGGCCACACTGGGGCTCCGGGGTAACCCAGGATCAGGCCCCCATCTCAGAGTCAGCTGACCGTGGGTCTAGTGCCATCTGTGCCCTGGGACCCAGCACGCTCGTGGGCCCTGGGAGTCAGGAGGGCACCTCTGGGTCACTCTTCTGCAGCCGTGAGCAGCGAGCCATCGGCAGGTGCTCCCTGCATCTGAACAGTCATGTATGTGGGGTGTTTGCTGAGGCGTCGGGACGCGGTGAGACCAGGGAGGGCTTGATTTCAGGGCTCTTTCTACTGTATGTCACTGGGGGAGAGCAGCCTTCGCCTGTGGGACACCCACCTGCCCTGTCTGTAACGAGGTCAGCTCTCAGTTCCGCTGCCTCGACCTGCACTCGCGGCAGCCGGGGCTCAGGCCTCAGACCCGTTCTCGGCTCTTGGTTTTGCCTTTGCCTCCTCTGCCTGTGTTCCTTCCTCCCCAGCCTGTTCCATTTCCCAAACCTCAGACCCCCTTCCACGTGAGCCTCTCGTGTTGCGGGCCCACCGCATAGCCCTGCCCTCTGCTCCTAGGATCGGCCTTGCAGCAAGTCCTGGCTGCTTTCTGTCTGCTGGCTTTTGCCTCCCACCCCCGGTGCTCAAAGAGGCCACGTTGACCTCTCCAGGGGCCCCTCATCAAGTGCCCACGGTGGCTCGGAGACGCGTCAGGACACCAGGCTCAGGGAGGCGCCTGAGAGATTCAAGTCCAAGGCTAATGTGCGTCAAGGAGGCGGGCCTCACCCTCTGGCCCTGAGACCCGTGTCCTTGCTCAGGCTCCAGGGCCGTCCCGCGTGCATTTCTGTCACGCGGAGCAGAGGGCCAGGCAGCTAATTGACATAAACAAATGTGCGACTGGCTCATAGTTTTCTTTTGCGTTTCAGAACCTCGAAGCAGAGTGTGGATGAGGACAGGAGGTCCAGTCTGGAGGACGACGGTGGTCTGGCCAGGGCTGTCCAGCGCTACCTGCCATACCTGGAGGCCCTGTCCCAGGCTGCTGCTCCAAACGTGCGCCTCCGCACAAAGCACAACAGGCCGCCAGCCCAGGTGAGCCTCGGAGCTCCGTGGTCCGGGGGGGTGTCTTTCACCTGCCACGTGCCCTTTTCTCCAGTGTGAGTCTTTGGCATTTCCTGGTTTCTCTCCTGAGTCCTGGACTAGTATGTGGTACAGGGACGGTCAGGGCGTGTGCAGAGAATGCTCCTGGACCCTGCTCAGAGGTGCACACGACACTCCAGCAGTGGCTGCCCACCCACCGTCCACACGGAGCCAGTCAGCAGTCCAGGACCCTTAGGGGTGAAGGTCTTCAGGATGTCTTCCTTGGAGCAGGCTCGGGAGCTCTAGAAAGCCACCATCAAATACAGATAGGACACCTACAGGCAGCAAAGAGGGTGTTTCCTCCTTTACCGCCTTTACAGCAGTGGACACTCAGTTGTGAGGGAGCAGAACCGGGACCCTGAATTTGGCTGGGGTCAGGGGGGCCCAGGGGAGCCTGCTGTCCTGGTGAGTGAGCCCGGGACTGTGCTGGGGTCAGGGGAGCCCAGGGGTGCTCCCATCCTGCTGAGTGAGCCCGGGACTATGCTGGGGTCAGGGGGACTCAGGGGTGCCCCCATCCTGGTGAGTGAGCCCGGGACCGTGCTGGGGTCAGGGGGACCCAGGGGTGCCCCCATCCTGGTGAGTGAGCCCGGGAC